GTGTAGTTTTTGCTGTTTCTAACTATAGTTTGCTATACATAGACTTCTAGGAACAAAATGTAAGATGTATATAGAATATATACATTTATAGATCAATGGATGCAGCTAAATTAAATAACACAGAGATAAATGTTAATTTTTGGCAAACTTTCACATCATTTTGTCATCTGACTCAAGAGGGGAGAGTCTAGCTAGTTAAACAAATGAATAAAAAAAATGTTTAAATACTGACTCGTGGTCTGAGTCCTTTGCTCATCAGCACCTGCAAGGCTGGGCCTCCCAACAGCAGCAGATTCAGGATGTCCTGTAACTCTTCATTGCATCAGGCCAGTTTAATCGTGTATGAGTGCGTGCATCCATCCCTGCGTGCATGCGTCCGTGCATCCATGCATGCATGCATCCATCCATCCATCCATGCATGCATAAATCCATGCATGCATCAAAATAGATTAGCATCACGGATATGTGAACAACCATAGGCTGTGAACAGAAATAACAGACAAACATTTGCTTTTCACCTTGTGTCACGGCCGGCTTGTGTTTGCAAAGAAAATCAAATGGAATGTGGATTCAATACAGTTTCATTTCTTCATTTTGCATCGCTGAGGATTATCTGTTCGTCTTTCTCATATAGCTACTATAACGGCACATATACTGTTACATAATGTGCCTTCTAGCAGAATTCAGAAGCATTTCTTTCCGAGCTCTCCAGCCCTTTGTGCAGTTCTCCAGCCCACACGGCTTACAGAAAACTAGTTCTCCTAAAAATAGAGCTTTCATTCAAAGCGACAGTCCAGCCACCTTCACTGGGAATATAATGACTGGAAGCGCTGCATGTAATCCCTGACTGGGCTGCTCTAAGACTCTGGGGATGCTCATCCCAGATCCGAAATGCGGGTCTAACCAGCCAGGAAGAACACAGGGGTTCATCTGTAATGTTAAACAGGGAAAAAAAAAAATACTGCTTGGACATGCTTGGAAAGGCAGGCAGCCCCACCGAGGTGTAAACAGCAGGAACCCACTTCCTGTTGATACTTATGCGAGGTGTTAAATGAGTGCAGCTCCTGCACACGTTTACCAGAAGAAGATTACATCATCCTGCAGAGTTTCTGCAATGACACCTGCTCAATGCTACGAGGAGCCGGATATATCGCGCCTCCCGAATACTGAGCAGCGCTCGCTCACCTGTCGCCCTTTCTAGAGAATTCTGACCGCAGCCCGCAGTACTGACACTTTGTACAAACACATGAACAGGTTCATTGGAATATTTTTGCTTACATGTCTCGCGCCCCTTTTTTTGAGACGGACACAGACACAGAGGTGAGAGTGAAGCTGGGGCTCCGAGCACAGAATAGCACTAACCAGCACCCCAGGAGTGTTTTTCAGGGGGCTTCTTTGCCGAGCATGGGATTCAAACCGACAACCTTCCGGTCACAGAAGCCTAAACTCCTGAGCGACTTCCAATGTGACGTGAGGTTACAGATTCAGTGCGCAGGTGGACAAACAATCATCTTCCTGTGTCTATCCCCAGGCATCAATTTCCAGGTGTGACACACTGGTTAAAACTCTGCTCATTGTCTGACATGTTTAAATATGACAATATGAGCATTAAACATGTTCCACTTCCCCCCCTTTTGGTTAGCAAATATTGCACTTTGGATACGTCGCCAATGTCACGAATACTCACTTCACAACTTACATTTTCACTTCATTATCACTTACTTTGAATTGCAGTCGATGAGGTTTTTATTCCACACTTACTGACGTGGCAAATTCATAGGACTTATATAGAAAATATATAAAAGTGATAAACATAATAACATTAAAAAAAGTTATTAAAGGTTATACACTACAGGACTATAAGTATGTTACCACCATCCTGTCCAGCGCCTCACTCTGAATCACAGGGTATTAGCTTGAAGCCGGCTAACCCTTATTTGCTATGACAGCCTGTACTCCTCTGGGGAGGCTTCACATTAGATGCTGGAACATTGCTGGTGGGATCTGCTGCCATTCAGTTTGGGCATCAATGCTGGGTGATCAGGTCCCCCTCTGTGAGCTTGTGTGGTTGCCACTTCGCAGCTGGACTTGCTCCCAGATGTTCTGACCTTTGGAACCACTGCACTTGCAGTGAGCAGGACCAGGGCAGCTCTAGCAGACGTGTTGCAAAGATGGTGGATGGTAGAAAGTCACTAAGCGGTCCTGCCCACTGCAATCTGCTGCTAATGGTTGCTGTGGGATATTGTGTCACTGTGTGCGTCATTAAATTCCTATGCCAGCAATGGGTGTCAGTTTATTAGAGATTTCCTCAAATGAAAAGGGGCATCGATATACTTTTGGCCATTTTGTGCATTTTAATCTTATTTCACAACAGAAAGGGGACGGATTGCAGAATTTCCTGCAGACGAATGGCCAGTTACGTGAGTAAATGACATCAGAGCATGAAGACCACCATTCACCCAATGCAATGACCCAAAAAGACGACGATTCAAATGAAAAGATGGAGTGCAGAGAAGGGTAATACCAACGGCATCCCTCCCCTGAAAGTCAGCGCGGATCTCAGCTCTCAGCTCCTCTCAAGGTTTACGTGACACGAGATTCTCACACGCGACACGGGGAAGAACCCGTGACTAAACCGTGGAGAAGCAGGCAGAGAACCAGATGGTTCTTTTCAAAAACGGCTGACTGCAGCTCACCCGGCTGGTGTCGAGCCCGTCTGCCTGTGACAGGCTTCTGGGTAAAAACACCAGGACGTCCTGCTCTCACTGCACTCGCTATAAGCAGAGATATCAGAACCACGCGATGAAGTTTACAGCAACCTAGGGGGCGCTCCTGCTCACTGTTCCTTGTACCTGTGTTATGGGCGTGTCTCCAGTCTCCCACTCCCAGAGATCACCTGACTGCAACCACCAATCAGCATGTTTAATGACTCAATGACTATGTACCCATATCATAAAAAAACATAAGGCATATCGACATAAATTTTTTATATAATATATACAGCACTTTCTTAGCAATCTTTCACACAGATAAACGCCCAATTTTATGCTAGCTCTAGAGGGCAGAGCCTTCAGGTTCAGGGTTCGAGTTGCCTGTCCCCCAGTCAGCCCATGAGTGCGTCTCCTAAGTCTGGTGGCCTCCCATTAGGGTGAGAGAAACTCGCTGTGGTAGGAGGAACTCCACCATAAAGCAAGGAAATACAGCCAGGCCAAGAAAAACGAAGAGAGGGAAATGGGAGGTATAAATATCATCACTGCTCTCTGACAGGCTGGAGTCCCGTCCCGGGGGGGGGGGGGGGGGCTCTCTCTGTCCCCTCTATCCTGAATCAGGTTTCCTGCCTGACTGCAATTATTGAAAATATTGCTTATTGCTGCATATATTATTTCAAGCGTAATTTAAAGTGAATGTCTGAATACAGAGGTAATATGTTTAATAACATAACAACAGAAAACAATGATATTCTAACTATTATTCTTGACTAAAAAATGTCTGAATTTCAGAAGTGCACAGTGCATAACACATATACATAACATGCAGGAAATGGATACTGTATACATGACAGCAAGGCTAACTAACACTGTGCTAAGTGTCCCTTAAGCGTGCCCCCCTCCACAGGGGCAGATTGGAGTTGGCCCCCTTCCAGCTGAAATAGGCCATCCAGGCAGGGGTATCGTCACACTGAAGATCCTGATTCACGCTCTAACCCAGATTCATCGCTGTAAATTTATACACACGGATATTGCGGCTCAGGGCGAGAGATTAAACAGAAAACGCGTTTGCTGGAGGTGTACAGCCAACGCTTTCTAAGGGCGATTTTAGAGCGTAGTGTTCAGACACGCCCGACATGCTGTTCTGCATTTCAGCATCCGCGTTCAGGGAGGACGGACCTCGTGTTGACAGTTGGGTGGCTCCTGAACGCTCTCGCTCTGCTTTTATGATCAGGGTAGGTGTCTGAAATTGCAAAGCAGGGCTGCAGAACCGGCAAGTCAGTCCGGGTCTATCGTGGAACAAGTTCCAGTCTTCCTCCCGGTCGTCAAAATTTACCCTGACCACCCGAGTAATCAAATGAATCGTCGCGTTTCAGTAGCTCTCCAGAGTATTTTCTCCATAAAAGTAGCTCTCACTGCGAAAAAGGTTGGACACAACTGCAATAGCGGACCTTGTGATTCATTGCTGAGTTTGACATAACATAATATTACCAGAAGGTCCCATAAATGGTTTTAATAGATTTTATATATTGAAGTTCTGAAGTAATTGTGAGAACTATAAACTATGTGTTGCGAAATATGCATGTATACATTGCCAGATTTCACCAAGTACCGCTGAATTGCTCCCGGATAAAATGTTCGTTTGTCAAGCTGGGAAATAAAAGCAACATATGGCAGTGAATAGGATTATGCAGTCGCCCCCCCTAATCGCAAGATAACTGATTATAAACACTAAAATGGTACAGACTTAAAAATAATCCCCTCACCCCCCTCTCCCCTCAATGCCACTCACACTCATGCTGTTTTTATGCAAAAAAAATAAATAAAATAAAAATTCCACCTTGCTCAGACTGGGACTGAGGAATCCTGACAACAGCAAAATGTGCCGAATCTCAAGAGACGTCAAACTCGCGTGTCACCCGGAGACAACTTCAAACACAACCTCAGCGGACATCATTTGGGTTTATTTACATCCTGCACCTTACCGCCTTGTCTAATTTCAATTCAGGGCCGTTACTGCAGGTGCAAGCGTGCAAATTCTTGCAAATTGTCCCTTTCAAGTGCTCTGCAGGGTGATGTTGTTTTTCCTCAAACACCGTGAGAATAATTTAGGGTGAAATAGCCTCGACGTTCGGACAGACGTGGTAGTGGTCCGTGGCCCTGGAGCAGAGGGATCCCACACCTGCATCCCCCCCCCCCCCCCCCACCCCCCAGGGGGGCCCGGGGGGGGGGGGGGGGGGGGGGGGGGGGGAATGTGACCCACGTATCAGTGCCGGTAAGGTGGGGGCTTACCTTCAGGGAAGGGGTTAGGCTGGACCACGTGCAGGAACGTGTGGACCATGTAGAAGAGGGCATCCATTGGCCCGGGATTGTAACTCGCCGGCGTCTCGTAGACCGCGGGGGGGACGGACTCAAATTGCAAAGCTGCAGAGTCTCCCTGCTGTGTGGTGGCCTGGAGCTGGCCAGATATGGCCCCCCGGCAGAGGAGGAAAAGTAGCACCACCTTGGCCACCATCGTCGAGAGGAGGAAAGGGAGCAAGATGACAGGAAGGAGGTGTGGGGGGCAAATGTATCTTGCTGTGTCCAAATCGTCTAAGGAAAGCAGGAAAAAAACACAAGCCGCCAAGCTGGAGAGGACTGCAAAGTTCAAGTCTGGCTCCTCGGGGCCGAACTCCTGGTAAACATCTCGCCCAGTTTGGCACCTCCTCAGAAAACGGCGGTGCTGCTCCTGTCCTGCTCTCCTCTGCCGCGCGCCGCCTCTGAGTGCGGAAGGAGCGCCAGTCTGTGTGTGTGCGTGTGTCTCGGCGCTCGTGTGTCGCTGAGCGCGCGTGCGCACGCTGGTGAGAGTGAGAGCAGCGCGTCTCCCCGTAACGGTTGCCGTGGAAGCCGCGGCAGGATGGAAGGCCAGCTCGTGCTGGGGGGGGGAGCAGGGGGGCGGGGGAGGAGCAGGAGGAGGTCGTCACGCTGGAGGCAGGGCGGCCTGCGAGGGAGTAGAGGGAAAAGCCTGTCGCTATGGGGATTTTCACAAGCACAGGAGTGCACAGGAGTGCTTGTGAGCCTGTAAGGTGGGGAAACAGAGGAAACTAAAAAGATAAACAAAGCAGGAGTGTGTTTGATATCAGTGATACGGGGATGTCAGGCACTGACCAAGTGCTGTATCACAAAGCTGGATTTCTTGCTTAGCTGATAACTTTTCAGAGTTAACATAGTCTGGGCTAAATTGAAGTGAATGAAGATAAAGTCCATTTAAACTGGGGTGACAGGCGGTTAACCTGACAAGTTATCTGGCTAAGCAAGAAATCCAGCTTTATGATACAGGCCCCCGGAAAGGTGCAGAATCTCCCCCGTGAATGTTGAAACGAACACAGTATGAATCATCAACAAATCATAACACGCTAAGATTCATCCTGCATCTCTCAAGCTGCAATCTGTAATCTGGGAATTACTGTAACTGGGAACTGTGGAGGGTCAACTGAAGATGTGTCATGCGTGTGTGTCTGGAAGTCAGGTCAGGGTGGAGACGTTGTAAAGATCATCACGGAGAAACACTCACTGACAATGAGGCCCTACAGCAAGCAACATTTAGTTTTGATAAAGCAGAACCAGGCAGTGCCTGGATTAATTAGGGGTTAAGTGCCTTGCTTAAGGGCTCGATGGTGAAATGACTCTGATGACCCTGGGATTTGACCCAGCGACCTTCTGATCACAGGCACCGCATCCTGACCAGCTAGGCAGCGCATGGCGAGTTTCGTGTCGTCGCTCCTGTAATTTCAGCAGGCCGGCCGCACAAAGGGGGGTTTTGTCAACGTCCCAGACGATCTCTGCTGGGGGGGGGGGGTGGGACGCCCATGACCCACAACGGGGAGCTTCATCTGCCGTCTGCGGAGAGAGTAAACAGACATGAAGGAGACCCTGGAAAATGCGGCAGCAGAAGCAAAGAAATGCAGCAGCAAGCAGCAGGAATATCCAACCGCGCTGGCTGGTCAGGGGTTTTACACCCCAGGCAGTGTACAGTGCTTCACACGCCCCAGGCAGTGTACAGTGCTTCACACGTCCCAGGCAGTGTACAGTGCTTCACACGCCCCAGGCAGTGTACAGTGCTTCACACGTCCCAGGCAGTGTACAGTGCTTCACACGCCCCAGGCAGTGT